ATGAAATATATAGAATGCTTATTAGAAAGATCTAGTGGAGGAGAATGCGGTGAAAGGAGAGAAAGATGGGCAGCACTTGATGAAGAAAGGAGTAGCCCAAGAGATAGACTACATACATGTACAATGAAACATTTAAAAAATGTAAACTTCCATATTGGAAAGCAGCAGGGAGAGTGGGGATAACTAGCCTACCACCTACTCTCTTCCTCCAATACTTGTGTTTGAATGGCTATCAGCCTTTCAGTATAATATATATGTTTCCTACTCCTTTTTTTTCCTCCTTTTATATTTGATCTTTACAAATTCAGTAAAATTTCTTTGTCTCAAAATTATACTTGTATTTGTATTTATTCCAGAATGTTTCCTGCATCGACAATCTCAGTCAATATGTAATTGCTGTCTCCTTGGATAGCATTCCAATATTCATAGCAATTTACTTTCACTGGAAGCAGAAAAATGTAAATTATGAGGTTGAATCGAATCGAACACTAAAAGCATAGTGAGTTGTTTTAAATTAACATTACCGTACTGAATATATTGAAATACTTACCAATTTATTTTATGACTAAACTGCCACTTTTGTATTATGCTGTATTGAAACACTATTGTGAACATGGCACCATGAACTATTTGATGAAATAAAATTGAAGGAGAAATCACATTGGTATGACAGACATTGATGTTCACTGGGAACTCACATCATTGAACTTTAAACTGAATTTCAACCCTTAGCTCAAACATATATGTACTTTTTAATGAGAATCTGTTTTGTTTTACTTTTAATGTACTACTGGACATACATGGTATATTGCAAAGTTCCACTCTTCCTATTTTTGCCAGGATTTTGATGTAGTCTGTCCAACCTAATTATAAATGAATTAATAATAAAAAAATCTCCATCACAATCACAATTAGCTACAAACCTGTTCATAGAACAAAGTACGGTCAAACCTGTCTATAAAGGCCACCCAAGGGAAACAGAGAAAGTGACCACTGTAGACAGGTTCTACACTGTTGGTCATAATGGTGGAATAATTTTTACCCCAGTTTAGGGAAGGATTTAAAAAAATTATTTATTTCTAATAGATCTAGATAATGGCTTACATTCTCAGATTTTATTGAATATTAATTTGCGAGTGTTCGTTTTGCGAGTGTCCATAATGCATGGCCCTACAGAGGGATTTTTCCTGTTGGGGGCCGGGGGAAAATGCAATGATTTTTTGACAATTTATTGCATTTTCTTCGTTTTGGGGGATTTGTGGAAGGGGCCGCGTACCCTAGCAAACACTGCGTACAGTCATGATTCAGGGGCTAAGCAATGGCCTCGTTACTGTGAGGCCCCAGGATAAAAATCGTGTCGATCAGCTCTATATTAGTGCCCTTTTGTGAGGCATTAATCCTCATTACTGTCAATTATGACTTAAGGACGTAGGTCCCTTAGCTGATTAGCATAGTAGCACACATGATTAAGCAGTTACGCAAAACAAACACTCGCAAATTAATGTTCAATAAAATCTGAGAATGTATGCCATTATCTAGATCTATTAGAAATAAATAATTTTTTTAAATCCTTCCCTAAACTGGGGTAAAAATAAATATTCCACCATTATGACCAACAGTGTACAACACACATTTCTTTACTTAGGGAGACAAAATACATGACCACTATAGCCAGGTGGTCTTTATAGAGAGGTGGTGACTAAGACAGGTTTGACTGTATTCAAAGATTACCCATAAATGACCCTAAAAGGTCATGACCTCTACCACCTCCTTATTAAATTTTGCGATTACTTCCGAGGCATGAAAATCTCACTGTGCGGTTTCAAGCCTCATTCTTTCTTGCCAGTCTTCTGCGAATTCACAAGTTCACATAAATCTGGTTTACCATTATGGATTCATTTGACATTTTATGACATTTTGTGACATTATATCAGCCAAGTATTGGATGATTTATAGATTTTGTGTCTAAAAGATGAATATCAATGTTTTCTCATTTTAGTTGTAAATCAGTTATTTCCAAATTAAAGGTCTCTTGTTATTTGTGTTGTGTGAATATTGATAGAAAAACTAATGATGAAATGCATTTAATTTACAATTGATAAAATGCATCAGAAATTAAGAAAACAATAAAATACATGATAATTATTGTTTTTGTTTCAATCTAAGTGTCCATTGACTTTATTACATGGAGATTAATTTTGCACGAACATTACTCTCCATAGAGGTTGTGTTCCATCATTAACAACAATTATCTTTATGAATTAATCACTTATTAACATAGCGATTATGATGACTTAATCTTGTTCTTAAACAAAATGTTTGTGCTGAATGTAAATCTTTTCCCCAAAGAGCTACACAGAAAATGCTCTGTAGATCTTTATTAGTAGCCATTGTGGTGGTGGTGTTGTTGTTCTTATTCAAATATTATGTTTGTCGATCATTATTCTGACCAGAAAAAGAGAATGAAGAGATCACATGAGTTAATGCATACAACAACAAAAAAACAGAAATTTATTGTGTGTAAAAATACTGCTTAAAAATTGTGTTATCACTTTGATGATTTAGATTTTTTATGTACAAAGTGTATGGTGCTTTTAGGGGTGTTCTTTATTGTCTTCAAATCATCTTGTGAATATCTTATGAGTGACTACTTAGGTAGAGAGGTGTTGTGGTCTTGTGGGTAAGTCACCTTACTGTGAAACACAAGGTACAGGGTTTAAATCGCTGATGTAGCAGTAAGTGTCCTTTGGCAAGGCATTAATCTACATGTGCCACACTCCACCCAGGTGAGGTAAATGGGTACCTGGCAGGGATAAATTCCTTTAAAATAATTCTGGAGTGCCAGAAATGTCAGACAGACATGTGCACTATACAAGAACCCACTGTTATTATTATTCAAAGAACTATCTTTGCTTGCCTCCATTTTTTATTATATCAAACAATAAGATCATCTGCCATATCTGATGCTCAACATATGCACAAGTTGACTCAGCTGATGAAAACATTTGTTTAAACATATTTGTGTAGTTAATGATACATATTATTGTAAAGAGAAGTTATGAGATGTCGTTATTTCATGTATTTTTGCATAAAATTTCACATTATTTTTATACTTTTGTATGGCATATGATTTGCACGAACAAAAAAAAGTTTTTTTTCTACAAGTAAAATGTTTGCATTGCATATTTTTTAAATGTGCTGATGAATGCCTGGTTAAAATGGAGAAGAAAAAAATAAAGATGAAGTAATCTTTCAATAATAATCTCTTGTGTCTGATTTGAGTGTAAAGAGTATTTCATTTCCTATCCTTTCAAAATTTGAACATGTATGATATGAGACCAGGGGGTAGGGGTATCACAAAGACCAAGATTGATTGAAAACACACACATGACAGGCAGTTGATGCCAGTAGTTGCTCAAACAATCCCTCTCTTAAGGAATGTGCACATTTAAGTTATACTATGTTTCCTTCAGCAATGGAATTAAAAAAAGAGTATATGCTGTTGATTTGACAGCACGACTTGCACTTTCCTTGAGAGACCGTAATGTTAAGAACGGTGAGAGCAAGCAGTGGCATTACCGGCCTGCCATAGTTTAGTGCGATTACAGTCATTCTTAGTCTTTGTGAAAGACTAAGAATTGAATTGAATTGAATGGTTTATTGAGAATACTGAAAATGGCAACCCGAAGGCTGAATTATATTCAGTTTACAATAAAGCACAGAAAACGCATAGCATTGTTAAAATGATCATTACATAATGCTTATAGAAGTGCAATGAACAAAAGTGTGTGAAAAAAACCATTATATGTGTACCTCCACAGTGATAATCTAATGAAATCCAGAAAGGCACAACTTACAAGGTTTTAGATTATTCCCCTTCTTCCTCTCAAGCCTCAATATACAGCACGAAGTTTATGAATCGGTTATTGGCTCACCTTGAGAAATACCTTACTTTCTGTTTTATGAAGAAATTGTCAAATTGACCATTTTAGTTCAATTCTGTCCGCAATTCCCTACAAAATCTATTTATGCAATACTAAAATTGGTTCATCTGCATATAAATTTCAAGCAAATTAGCAGCAAAGCAATGGAAGAGGAATTAAGAGAAGAAAAAAAATTATGTGTGTCCTCGCACATGTAATAATGTACTGATGTGTACTAATGAGTCCCTGATTTACACCAGGGAGGGGGGGTGTTTAAAAAGATCCTAAGTTGGACTTAACAATTATGGAAAGCCGTTAGCATCTATGAAAATATTTTGTAAAAGTTATTTTAAAAGGCATAAAATGTTGATTCGAATCCTTCATGTTTTTCTATTATCAAGGAGATTTCATGTTCTTGATGTGGAATTTATAAAAAGTCTAAAATACTTGAATTTTCGCTTTTGAATATACTTTATTTTAAGGCTACAAATGGCTCTCCAAAATGTTCACTTAGTGTTAAGTTCGTCTTGGGATCTTTGTGAAACACCCCCCTGAAATGCTATGTGGGTGGGTACCAAGGACACTGGTAAGAACTGTACCTTCACTTCGACAACCAACCACAAAACGAGGACGTCCTCGGTTCGAGAACCCTATACATTTTTTTTAATTGGAGGCTCTTTCATATAGGGTACATTTATTTAAGTGCTCTATGTCAAAAGAAAAAGTAGGTCCTCGGTTATGCCGTAGGTTTCCAGACTATCGTGTTATATTCCTACAAACATGTGTGTCCTCAAACATGTAATGATAACTGATGTGTACATATGAGCCGTCAATTTACACCAGAAACTCCTATGGATGTGCGTATGTATGTGTGTGGGTGTGTTTGTGTGTGTGTTGCTGTAGGGAGTTGTATAATCTTTTCACGTTCATGTTTAATACCTTTCCCTTCTCTCCCTCCCATGCTCCCCTTTCTCTTTTTTTCCTCTACCATTCTTCTAAAGGGGAGTATGCCCTAGCCTTTAGACTAGCTTCTTGGTATGAATGAAAATCCAATCAATTTTGATATTTTCTTTTCAGCTATGTTCCGACTTGCACCTGCTGTCATCAGCCCTACCCAACAGTCCCTTCACATTCAGAAGATAGGCCGGTCGTTGACTACATCCAGCAGTCTTTCTCCTTGCCTTCAAGAATTCCTGATAGGACCCTACCCCCATCGCAGGAAGATGCACCCTCCCGAAGGACCACTTTGCATCCGCAAAACACACCAGTCATGGACGTTGTGCAGCAGTCCTTACCAGTGCAATACTTGCAGAGTTCAAGAGTGTCAGAAAGGAGGTCTGTGCTCCAATCCCAGGAGAATGTGTCTTACCAGATGACCTCTTCAGAGTCTCAAAACAAACTAGCCATGGAGACTGCACACTGTGCACAGCATTCTTTTCCTGCACCGTACATTCATACCTCAAGGATTACAGAACGAATCTTAACTGCTTGTCAAGACGTTGCGCCTCACCCACAAACGACCCCTTCACCTGCGCCAAACCCACCTGAAGCCCAGGAGTCCTGTCCCTCTATGCCTTTGTCCAAGACTTCAAGGATTCAAGAGAAGACCTTGCCCGGCCATTCTCAAAACCAATCACTCCTCCAAGCAACCACAGGTCATTCACAAAGCAAACCAGAGGTACAAGTTGCCCAAGAAGCATGTTCTGCAAAGCCATACACACAGACTATAAAGGTTTCACAAAGGAACTTACCCCCCTCCCAAGACGATGCTCCTCTTCCTCCTACCGTCTTTGAAGATGAGTTACCTACCACAGAACAAGAGGAGGAGGAGCAGATGGAAGAAGGCAACCACCCTCCCATACTGGACAATGATAGACTGTTACTCAGTGATTATAAACTGCCACAGTTCCATCCTGATGTCGTTTACAAACTTGACTATGGCATACCTATAGATGCCAAGGACAGGTCCAATCTCCTGGATTCACTCTATGAAAGTGTTGTTCCATACACGTAGTGAGTACCGTACAATGGCTGCCCGCAAGAAGGCCAGTACTGCCATGACGATACATAGCCATTGCTGCCTTCTTGCTGGCAGGCACCTCATACTGCTGTTTTTCTTTGGATAATGTGGGGGTTAGGTGACACAAAGACGTAACTCCATATTTTGCCAAAATGTGTATTTGATATCAAAATGTTCAGAAAAATGTGGGCTTTCCAGGAAATACAAAGACTTAACTCCACCCAACCCCATTGAAGTCAGTGGCTAGTGAAACAAAGACTTATCTCCTTAAGGCCCAAGTGCTCAGTGACACTTAAAACACTTTTTCTCAAAATGGCAAAATTGGAGTTATGTCTTTGTGTCACTGACCCCTCGTAACGCACAGTTTTGGGCAAGGTGAGGGAGTTGATGAAGACATAATATTTGTATGATGCATCAGGTTGGGTTTAAGTAAAACCAGATTTGAGGAAGTACGATTTTTGCAGCTACTCCCTGGAGCAGGCAGGTAAAACATAATTAAATGTTTAAACATTTTGAATCCCCTTCATTTCATTTCAACTTGGTACTTTTGTTTATATGCAGTAACATATAAATCGTGGCTGAATAAATTTGATATATCTTTCAAATATGTGGGAGAGGAATAGGAAAAGTTTTTCTCTTGTAGGAACATGTTGTCTCTTAAGACAGTTGTGAACAATCACCCTTCCTCCTCTTCTCCAGTTACCCAACCACATCAGACTATACCTACTTGACCAGGATATTCTTGGAGCGGTATCCACAGCTTTTTCACCAGGCTGGCTCCATCCGAGACTGTCCGGACGATTGGGTAAGAACTGGTAGCAATCTTTATCAAGAAATCTTGTAGAGTCTTAAGTAAGTATTGGGATAGTTTACATTTCTTCTTCAGATACCTTAAAGTTGGGAGGGCATTTCTAGCCTACTTTAATCCTTTGCATATGGTAAACAGGTTATGCAGGTTAAGCAGGTTAAGCTTATGGGAATCAGAGAACTCAGTAGTCAATAGGTTAAGAATATTACTGTTGCTCTACATGGAAATCTCCAGGACATGATAGGACAGAACACCATAAACAAATTTTTCTCTACCCATGAAATTCTCAATCTCAATACTGTTTTGAATAATGTTCTTAGACATAATGCCCCTTTCTCTTCTTCTCTTTAGGAGGTGTGGAGGCAGAAAGTGATGCACAAGTTCAAGAACAAACGGAAGCGGCAAGATAGAGATGCTCCTGGCGTACGAAAGCACAAGCGCATGAATTGCTTTAAGCACTCTGAAGGGCTGGACGAACTCCAGAGTGCCGCTGGGCACACTACACATGATAGAGGACACAATGTGGACATCGATTGTCCTGGTGATGTCGATGAGGTCTTTGAAGTGGTGGATGATGATCAGGATGTGGTGATCAAGGATGAAGACTCGATGTACCATGTGATGGCTGCAGACACCACTAATCTGTGTGAAACAACAGGTATGGGAGTTGCCCAGGAACCTCTCACTTCACCTTCAACCTCACAGAGTCCAAGGATTCCAGAAAGGACTTTTCATTCTTTCCAAGTTCACCTACCCCAACAATTAAACCCTTTGCAATCACAAAACAATCTTGTCATGGAGTGTGTCCAGGAGCATTTGTCTTCGCCGCGACACGTGCAGAATTCAAGGACTCTAGATGGAAGATTCCCCTCATCTCAAGATAATATGTCTTTTAAACAGACCACTCCACATCTGCAAAGTAAACCAGTCATGGGAGTCGTCCAGGATTCTAGTTCAGCAAGGTCATACGGGCAGGCTTCAAGGTTTCCAGAGAGAAGCTTGCCACAGTCTCAAGACGGCCACTCTCAAGACAATGCTCCCAACCAACAGACAATTCCTTCTTCACAAAACCAACCAGTCATGGAAGAGGAACAGGACTCTGGTTCCTCATCCTGGCATGGAGAGACATCAAAGATTCCAGGAAGTTTCTTGCTCTCCTCCCAAGACCATGACCATATTGACCGGGACTTACAATCCAGCAGTGGCCAAGAGCAGAGGTTGATGGAAGTCCAACGTGTCCATAGTCCTACCTCCTATGATCCTGATAAACCATCTCTCTATGATTATAAACTGCCAGAGTTTCATGCTGATACCCTTCAGAAGCTTGAGAATGGTATAACTATAGACGCCAAGGATAGATCCACTCTTTTGGATACACTCTATGAAAGTGTTGTTCCATACACATAGTAAGTAGTAAATTACTAGTGTCGCTTAACTCCAGGATAATCAAACTATACATTTACTAAGTGCATGCATCTATATTAATCCATGAGAAACAGTTTTAAAGAAAACATTGTGACATACCGGGGTATAGATATTATTCTACTTGTTTTTAGTGAATTCATTTAATTTGTACCTTGTATTTTATCATTTTATCGCTTTCTATATATTCATTGTTCGCTTTTTTTCAACTGGAGTATGAATAAAGACTGAACTGGTATATAAACACAGCTCATAGAGTCTACATAGTATGCAGATAAGCATTTTATCCTCTAACACATACTCTTACCTTTCATCTGAGATCAAATGTATCTTTGTTTTTGGTGGGCTGTCTTTAGAGGCATTTTGACATGACATGTCATCCAACTCATACAAAATTGCAACTTTTAATGACATTTTTAGGTACTGACATCAGTAACTCTTTCCGTTGTATATCGAAGGAAGGCCAGCTCACCAATGGAGCTTTCTGCGTCTTCGAGGAATTATGGATTAGGTTAGGTAATCCTCCTGATCAAGGATAGAAATTAAGACGATTTGTCATTCTTCTTCTTCTATTCTTCTATTCAGTTACCCATCCGCTGCAGACTACATCTATTTGACCAACGTCTTCTTGGAACAGTACCCGCAGCTGCTCCACCAGGCTGGTCCCATCCGAGATTGTCCTGATAACTGGGTAAGAATTGGTAGTCTCTCTGTATTGCTCTTTCAGATGTATGTTCTATATCTAGTCCGTTATAAGTAGACCTCAAAAAGTCACAAGGGGAATCGTTTCTACATGTCTAATGACATTACAATTGTAGCCTTTTGTCTGAATTGAATGAGGTGTAATTGCATGTTGCAAAGGGCACACCTAAGTGAAATATCAAGGATGTACTATTCAATTTGTTGTATTAACTATGACCCAACGAATACGTACATGGATATATATGACAGATTTTGGGGTCCATGAAAACTGACAAATTGTTCCTCCCCTCAGCGTTGATACTTCCAAGATTTATAGGATGATGTTTTTTAAAGAGCACCAACCCCTTTCTTTTTTCTACAGGAGGCATGGAGACAGAAATTGATGCACAAATTTAAGAACAGACGGAAGCGCCAGGACAGAGATGCTCCAGCAGTAAGAGAACATACCCGTAAGAACTGCAGATATTTTGAGGGACTGGACGAACTCCAAGTTGCCAGTGGGCAATCTCTGGATGGCAGGAGAGACCGAGCGGACATTGATAGTCCTGGTGAGGCCGATGAGGATGATGTCTTTGAAGTGATGGATGATGTTGAGGATATTGTGATTAAAGAAGAAGACTCCATGTATCATGTGATGGCTGCAGACACAACCGATCTTGGTGACACACCAATCAAGGGAGCCATCCAGGATTCTGTCTCTTCGTCTCCCTCCATCAATAGTTCAGAGAGGAATTTACCTGGCTCACAAGATTATCCTCCTGACCGACTAACCACTTCACATTTACAGAACAAACCAATCAAGGAAGTGGCCCAAGAGTCTTGCTCCTCGCAGCCATACATGCAGATGTCAAGACTGCCAGAGAGGACCTTGTCATCCTCCCAAGCAGTTGATCTTCCTTCCACGGTTGAAGAGTACTCATCTTCCAGCTCGGGCGAGAGAGAGAAGCAGATGGAAACCCACCACATGAAGAGTGCTCCAGCCTTGGAACCGGGAAGGTTGTCACTCTACGATTATGAACTCCCTAAGTTTCATCACAGCATCCTTCAGAAGCTGGAGCATGGTATACCAATAGAAGCGAAAGACAGATCCAATCTCCTGGACAGACTCTATGAGAGTATCGTGCCATACACCTTGTAAGAAACATGACTTCACCTCATTGCCTACAGGATTGGGGGGTTAACTACTTTAAACCTTTGGGGTTAACAAATTTAGTAGTCAACAGGTTCATTAAAGGTAAAGACCAGTTTTGGAAACGCCCCAATTTCAAAAAATGAAATGGAAGCTCTCATTACCAATCATGTGAAAGAATATGTTTTGACTAATACATGATGATGAAAAATTTGCCCGGAAACCGCCTACTAATTCATATATTTGGTAAATTTGTTTCTCTCATGGTCTGTGAGAGATATAGGGTAGTCCCATATACATCTTTCTGTGTATAGTGCTTGTAACTTTACGAAGAATGGGCCAAATTTCTTATCATTTTGATGATTCCAGAACCTTGCAGATGCTAGATGCTAGATGATCAACCTTTTCTGATCGATTCCACAATGTTTCTTTCACAATGCAATCGCATGACCATAACTGGTCTTTACCTTTAAGGGCATGTCAGGATGTGCGATTGGACTTTTCATTGTAAATGGAAAGTCAACAAATTCTTCAATGTATGATTCATCCATGTAAGCAGAACCAGAAATTCACTCTTAAAGCCCCACTGTATTACTTGTAGCTACTTGCTCCCTCTATATAGAAAACAATGCATAATCGGTGACCATTGGTCCCCCATGATCCTCTTTTTCTTATGTTGATTGAGAGCTGAGTTGATGAGATAACCACCTGTCCAGTGACCTTGCATGGTGGTTTAATCCCTCCTATAAACTAGTACAGATGGCCTTTAAAAGAACATCAAGCTATTAAGGTTTGATGGGGAACATAGAATTTAAGTGTTGAATTCAAGATATCACTGAAAATGCAATCAAAGATTAAGCACCTATACCCAGACCTGTTTATCCACAATGAGGAATCATTGCTCTGATGTAATAACAATTGCATGTACCTCTTCAGAACTTTGGACAAATTCTGCCTTTTCTGCTTTTCTCTAGTTACCCATCTGCATCGGACTACATCTACTTTACCAAGACATTCTTGGAACAGTATCCGCAGCTTCTCCCCCAGGCTGGCCCCATCCGAGACTGTCCAGACAACTTGGTAAGAAATGTTAACATTCCCAAGTTTCAAGGATACACATGTATGTGTGGAGATAGTGTGCATAGTTGGTAATTCTTTTAAGTATGATTTAAACACATTTTCATGAGAGGGAAGGGAGTGTGTAGTTGAACCTGCTAACTCATGCAGAAACGGTGCTGTTCAAGTTACATGAAGTCATGTGTAGAAATACCAGTTCACATATGCATTGTCAGGAAGGAGCGCATCATTGCAAAAGAAAGAATAATTTTGCCCCTCTCCCTTGATCATTACATTCTTGTAAATAATATGAGAAGATGTTTTTGAAGGCCATCTAACACCTTTCTGTTCTTTTCTACAGGAGGCATGGAGACAGAAACTGATGCACAAATTCAAGAACAAACGGAAGCGTCAGGACAGAGACGCTCCTGCTGTACAAGAACATACCCGCAAGAACTTCAGGTACTTTGAAGGAATGGACGAACTCCAGAATGCCAGTGGACAATCACTGGATGACAGAAGAGACCGAGGGGACATCGATAGTCCTGGTGAGGCCGATGAAGATGATGTCTTTGAGGTGCTGGATGATGTCGAGGGCATCGTGATCAAAGAAGAGGACTCTGTGTACCATGTGATGGCTGCAGACACAACTAATCTTGGTGACACTTGAGAGCAGTAATTGTGACTGTTCAATTTAGATGATGAATAAGACTTCAAGTCGCAGCCACCGAGGCATCATGATGACCCCTGACCCCACCAATCTGTATGACATTGAAGACCTGTCAAGACATTTGATATCCATATTATACCAGGACAACGAGGCAGAGGCATCATGTGATGGCCGCAGACACTACTGATTTAATAGTTGTCAAATGTCAATACCATTGGTCATCAAAAAAAGGGGAAGACATTATGGTTGCTACCAGTGAAAAAATACACGGAGGCTCTGGGCGAATTTGCTCCCAAAATGCCCAAAAGAGCCCCCGTAAATTTGCATAGAGTTCAATGCAAAACAAATTTTAGAGTGTTATTTTTATGCAGGCATGCTTGAAAAGTAGCCCCCGAAAAATAAATATTAATTTTTTCCCTGGTTGCTACAGACATCAATATTAAATGTGTTTTTGAGAAATATTGGTGAAAATTTGATTTCATGAATGTGAAACTTGTGGGCATGAAATGCTGCAAAGCCTTTTTTTAAAAGTTCATGAATATCAAGGATTGATTTATATGTATGTTTAACATATTTCTAGGGCCTAATGCAATAAATTTCGGTAAAAGTTATGTTCTAAATGATATTTGATAATCTAAAATTCTAAACCAAAAAGTAACTGATCCCCCAAATACAATACATGTATGATGTTTTAACTATTCATATAGTAATTTCAAAGAAATTATTCATGTATTAAATTCATGTTTTAAAATCATATAATTGTAGTATTTATTAATCTGAGAATCAATGAAAATGGAGAGAGAGAAAGAGAGAAGGGGGGGGAGAGATTGTAAGAAGAGTTCATGAAGAAGAGGAAAAAAGAAAGACCAAGAACATGGGTGTGCTGTGGTTAAAGGCTGATAATCTATGAAAATGGAGAGAGAGAGAGAGAGAGAGAGAGAGAGAGAGAGAGAGAGAGAAATACTTTTCATTTCATTTAGAGAAATTAAGAAATTGAATTTTAGGGATGGGGGGGGGGGGGGACTTTATGTCCCCACCCAATCAAATTTTCTAATGACCTGCCCATCCTTGCAGCGTGAGACATTAGTAATACACGTAGGCCTACCAAGAGTGTTTTGGCTATAGATGAGAACATAAATTCAAAGTATTTTGACCTCGCGTAACTGACGATCTCGCGGGAGAACTTTGTTTCGACATACTCGTTTTGACACGAGGAGGAGGAAGACGACGAGGAAGACGAAGAGGACATCAGCATCAGGGATGTTGAGTGACAGGCAAGACAGAGAGAGAGAGATAATAAGAGATTGAGAAAAAAAGGGGAGGGACAGAGATGAGAGAGAGAGATAAAGAGCGATTGGGAAAGGGAGTGAGAGGGAGATAATAAGAGATAGAGAAGAGATTGAAAAGAAGGGGAGAGAGAGAGAGAAAGCGAGGGAGTTAAGAGATCGAAAACTGAAGGGGAGAGACAGATATGAGAGAAAGAGCGAGTGGGAAAGAGAGAGAGAGAGAGATAATAAGAGATGGAGAAGAGATTGAAAAGAAGGGGAGAGACAGAGATGAGAGAGAGAGAGAGAGAAAGAGAGTAATCATCGCAAATTATTTCATCTCTTAGATATAACCCCCGGAGATGTCGTGACCCAATTCGCGCCAAATTCACCGGGAGCGAATGAGAAGATCATGGACAAGAGTATTACATCTTGGAATTTGTCAATACGGGCTCTTTAAATGTGATAGGTTGGATTGACATATTGAAGATGGCTGCCATGAAATGTCAGTCATGTAGCTAAACTTAAACATTACACGAAACATAATGCACCACAAAAATTGTTAACTTGCTGATAAAATAAAATAAAATGGCCCTATATCTGGTAACACAAAAACCCGACTCCCCTCAAAAAAATCTCTCTCTCTCTCTCTCTCTCTCTCTCTCTCTCACACACACACACACACGATTTCTACCGCGGTACCAGCAACCTCAGCTCAGGAGGTTTATATAGCTTGTTTTTCTTTCAACATTATATTCATTTATTAAATCTGTATATGCCACACAGCTAATCACCCCGTACCACATTGTATTTATCATGGGGTAGATATTCCAAAGGCGTCAACATTATTTCACTGTTTCAAGTGCAAGATTATTCTAAACCCTTTGTTTTACATGTTTGTCACTGAGCTAATTAAGACCGAAAAATGGGTAATAAAATTGTGCAAGGCAAAGCACAAATCAATCCATCGTTAAAATGGTGCCAATTGTTTTGTGCAAATCTACATGAGTAGCAAACGAGCGACTGTCCGTATTGGCACTGAAGGTAAATGAAAGGTTAAACAAATTGATAATGATGATTCAAATTACAAGCTGGGATAAAATATCAAGAAGACACTAATCGGCTAATCAGCTGATTTGTTCACAAGTCTGAAATGGATGACACTAGACAAGCGGTTTGAGTTAAGTCGCGTTATGATGAAATGCGTTCATAACTTAGCACCTTCTGACCTTCAGGTAGGCTTAATCAATCCTAATGATGTGCATGAGCATCAAAAAAGGCAAATGGACAGTGGATGTTTACGTGTGCCTAGATTTCACACTGATTGTTATAAGTGTAGCCCAATTGTTTCTTCCATATTTGAATGGAATAAGCTAGATAATTCGTTGAGAACGGCTTCCTCTGTCATTTCATTTAAGAGATTGTTTAAACAAAGTTGTAATTTGTGAATGGCTCAGCCGAACATACACTACGTGCATGTGCTGTAATATTAACATGACTTATTCACATAACTGCGACTTAATTAATATTTTCCTATTGACATTACTGTTTACTAGGTAAATGATATATGTTTATTTTGCAAACGAGTATTATTTTTGTAACTGTTCTGTATAAATGTTATAAACGATGTAAATATGTTCATTCAGGGCCCCATGACTTGTTGGTGAATGGGCTACCCTGTCAAAAGATTAGAAATAAATAAATAAATAAATAAATAAATAAATAAATAAATAAATAAATAAATAAATACATAAAGCTATATCTGACTAGTTTTACTGGCCCCTTTCTCGTGTTACTTCGGATCCGTATATCCTATACAGCTCAGAAAAAAAAGTTGAAGATGGAAGAGCTAGAGGAAAACAATTAATGTAAAGAGGAAGAGAACCAACGATTAGACATCTTTAGACAGCTGGTAATCTCAAGCATCCGTACAGTAGGAGGATGCGGTTCTTCGAATGCCTCCCAGGCGAACTTAACTCATTGTGTCGAGATTTTAAAGGTTACGTAGAGCTCTACTTCTACTTCTTCTTGCACCTTCCTTATTCTTCTTAAATCAGCAGTGACTAATAATGTCGTCAAGTTCTGTTATGTCACATCCATTTTGATGTAAGATGAACATCATCTTAAAGGCAGGATATTTTGACTTCAGATTTACGTACACTGCCATCTCCTGCTCGCAATGTCCCGAAGTGTCGATAGCCATTACCCACAATGCATTTTAAAACTGATTTTCAATTTTTTTTTTCTTCTCAAATCTACCGCATATTATCATATTCTCCCTTCCCTTTCTGCCTTTCTATCTGTAATATTTGTTCTCTCTCTCTCTCTCTCTCTCTCTCTCGTTCTCATCCCCTTTTTCTCTACTAAGTATTTCTCTTTCTCTCTCTCTCTCTCTCTCTCTCTCTCTCCCTTTCTTTCCCTCTCTCTCTCTCTCTCTCTCTCTCCCATAATCCGAACAGATTATACAGTTTAGTTTATGCTTGATCCTGTTTCTTTTGAGCTATACATTATTGATTAGACTATACCTAAATTGTTCCCATGTGCGTTTTTCAAATCATGCAGTCTGACAATACATCAGAGAAATCAGCTTAGATTATATCAATGACAAAAACCGCCGCAAGAAAAATTTCCTAGTTCTTCGCTTTCGCACGATTGCGTATTATTAATACCAGTTTCTTTTCTTGAAAACAAACTTTAATTTCTTCCCCCTGCTCTCTCATTTCGTCTTACTCAGTCTAATTTTTTGTTTAAATCTCCATTCCAAAGCTCCTGGCCGACCCTTGAGTATTTCAAGGAATTTACGACTTCGCTATCTACTGCTGATGACAAGAGGGTGACTCGCGGCGGATGACTCACCAAGAGAGAGATTCCACTCCACCGACAGAGTCTCCGCTTTACTCGCAAGCTATAGTCTACGCATTACAGACCCTAGCGCTACAGCCACTGGTGCTGGCAGTATTAACGTCTGATCTCTTCGCACCTGCTTTGCTGTGAGACCGCATTTTTGTTTTCTTCTGCGCTGTTGGAGGTGTTAAAAGTCGGAAATTCGGGTCATGAGAGTGCATTTTCGAAGAAGTATGGTACCTGCTGTCAAGCAAGCCAATTCCACAATTCAAAATCTTGTCTAACTTAAGACAAATAGTGATTTGTGATAGAAAATGTACATGCAGATTTGGTCATGTTTAGTAAATGAAAATGTGGATCGGCAATTAGCACATGAAGGTGTATGGTCACAAAAATCTAATTAGATTGCTAGACTTTCACCAGGGGAAGGGGCTGACCAAAATTATTGCAACTAAACCTTTACCAACAATAATAAAAACAAACAAATTAACATACCTCAAAAAGTTTAAATTCACTGAAATCAAGTACAGCTTTGATGACATTCACTTGGGAAGGAGTTGATTGTGATGCCCTAGACAAGGTCATGTTCATGTTATTAATAATGATACATTGAGAGGTAGTGGTGTCTATGGTAGTGATGATGAGCACGAGGAGATGATTTTGAGGATAATGATGCGGAGGAGGAGGTGGTTGTGTTGGTGGTGGTGGTGGTGGTGATGATGATGGTGATGACGACGGTGATGATGATGATGAGGGTGGTGGTGGTGGGGTGAGGTTGTGCAAGGCCCTCAGGAAGAACAGCGTTGAAGCAGATTAGGCTTCACTGGGTAGACAAATCATTAATTACGTGCATTATGATGATGATGATGATGATGATGATGATGATCATGGTGAAGATTATTATGATGATGATTATGATCATCGTGGTGGTGGAGGTTATAATGGCTATGGTTATGGTGGTGATGGGAGTTGGGTTGGGATGCTGCTGATGGTGGTGGCGATGGTCCCCTGTGATGGTCGGATGCTGATGATGATGAAGAAGATGATGATGATGATGATGATGATGATGATGATGGTGATGATCGGATGATGATGATAACGAAGAAGATGATGATTATGATAGTGGTGGTGGTGATGATGGTGATGATGATGGTGATAATAGTCATCATGATAATGTTGACGATGATAATGATGGGTGACCATGCTGACAAT